AACTCAGTGCTTCAGTTAGCATTCAATCAAAATTTCCTTGAAACAAGAGAGAGAGACTTGGGATTGTGACAGTTCTACTAAATTAGCTTCTTCGTGTCAAAATCTGTCAAGTTTATGATTTATTCAGATAGCACTTGTTTTTGGTGTAATAGCTAAACTGTTGCTTTAGAGTCTACTACATTCTCCTCTATTATTTTGCATTTTTCTCTTTATTATTTTGTTCAAGTAGGATATTGTGCTGAGTTGAACCATGAAATGAGTTGTATTGAACAACATCAACAACATAAATGTTCTGGGGTGTCATCTGCATTTTCATATCTGGCTGTTCAAATCTTTTTACAGTTACAGCTTTGATAATAATGTAATATTATAATGTTTTTCATTAGATGTCAAATCATAGAAGAAGACAACAAAGACATGTTAAGTTAGCATAGTTTAATGTAAGGAAAAAATAGTAAAGCATTGAGCACTAAATATCTCTTCCAATTCAGTTCTTTTACAGGAAGCTTTTGTTACGTGTTCTCAGCACATTGCTGTGATGCTCAAGGATGGCTCTTTAACATGAAAACCTGGTGTTTCAGCATGGCTTCAAGCAGGTGAGAAAGTAAGCCATGCAGATATTAGAGGAAGGGAATAATAGTAGCTGGAAAGATCCAGAGTTAGGAAGTTTCCTGGTGCCCTCCAGGAGCAGCAAGCTGATCACTGTAGCATGAGAAAATTGAGTTAGGGAAAAAGAAGCAGGTTTGGTCAAAGAGGTGAAATGGGAGGGAGATCATGTAGATGTTGTAGGCTACTGTGATGAGTTTGACTTTTACTCTGCAAGACAGGAAGACAGCCATAAAATTTGGGCCATTGGAGTGAAATAATTTGTCTTTATTTTAAAAAGGATCACTTTGCCTCCTCTGTTGGAATAGAATGTGTATGTACTGGAGAGTGGTAGTGGTAGACAGCTTTAATGGAAGCTGGGAGACAAATCAGAAAGCATCTGTTTTCTCCCAAATTCATTCCCTCCCCTTTCTCTAGTTACATCTATATCTTAGAGGTCTAACCCCTACAAAATATATTTCCCAGATTCCCTTGCTAATTGGTTTCAAACTGAATTTGTTCAAAAAGAAGCATTGTCATGAAGTTCAGGGCACCAAGAAGGGACAAGCTGGGGCACTGGTCCCTCTCTCTGATTGTTTTGGGTTGTGCCTGTGGTGACTGCTGCATGTGCCCCAAGGCCGGTCCGCTGGGCAGGCTACTGTGATTGCCATTTGTATTGGGTGGTCTCAGCTTTTGGGTTCCAATAATATCATCTCTAGGGGTAGCAGCTGGCTATAATAAATAATGTCTGGATTATCCTAACTCTTCCCTTTGTTCTTTCAGGTATTTAACAATTTTGTGACTAATTGGCTTCTATTATTTCCCTAGAGTAGGTTCTGTTATTACACTGGACTATGTTTGTAATAGAGTGGGCTATTACAATCATCTAGGCTAAAGATAATGGTGACTTGGAATAAAGTGGTAGCAATGGAAGTGTTCAGAAGTCATTAGATGCAGAATATATTTTATAGATGGAATGTGATAAAAAATAAACTGGACTCTGGTTTCCAGCATATAGCTCCAAAAGACTGAAATTGAAATTTGTGGACTAATAGAGTATCTTTTGTATGTTAATGAGAAGAGTGGTGGTTGGGGGCCTCTAGAAAGCTTCAGCATGAGGGCTAGTCGCCAGAAAAACTAGGGCATGATTAGAGGGCTGGAACATTCAGCCTCACTCCCTGACATCTGAGGAGAGAAAACAGGCTGGAGATTGAGTTCAATCACCAATGACCAATGATTTAATCAATATCATGCGTACATAATGCAATCTCCATAGAAACCCCTAAACCATGAGTTTCAGAGAGCTTCTGGGTTGGCGAACATATCAAGAGAGGAGCTGTGAGGTGGGTAAGCCTGAAGAGGGCTTGGAAGGTCCTGTACCTGCCCCTTTTCTTTGCTCTATGCCTCTCTTTCATTGGCTGTTCCTGAGTTTCATCCTTTATATAGTCAAAAAGAGTTTTGATATAGGTTGTATGAGTGTTATAAGAGAAATAGATGTCAAAGATGACTCTAGTGTTTTTCCTGAGAAATTGAAAATGGCATAATTATTATTAACTAAGATGAAAATAATGTAAATAAAGCAAGTCTATGCTGGGAGAGATCAGGAGTTCAGTTTTATTCACGCTGTGTTTAAGATGCCCATTAACTATCTAATTGGAACTTTTAAATGATCAGTTGTGAATATATGCATCTGGAGTCAGAAGTCCAAACTAAAGATATAAATTTGGAATCAACAGCTTTTATTGTTGTCTATTCAAAGTTATGAGACTAGATGAGATCATTCCAGAAAGTGAAGATTACCAAAGAAAGAGAGATTACCAAAAGTCAATGAGGACTCCATTTACTGTACCTTCAATTATTTAAAATCTTATAGATTGGTGCTGTCCAATAGAACTTCCTGCAGAGACAGAAACGTTCTATATTTGCACTATCAGAAATAGTAGCTGTATTAGTTTTCTATTTCTACCACAACAAATTGTCTCAACTTTAGTGGCTTAAACAATATTAATTTATTATCTTTTAAGTTCTGTAGATCAGAAATGCACCGTGGTCTCACTGGGCTAAAACCAAGATGTCACCAGGGTTGCATTCCTTTTTGGAGGCTCTGGTGGAGAATCTGTTTCTTTGACTGATCCAACTTCTAGAGCCCAGTTGCATTACTTGGCTTGTGGCTCCTTTCCTGCATCTTCAAAGCTAGCAAGGCATGTTGAGTTCTCACAGCTCATTACCCTGATTTTTTCTTCTGTCTTCCTCCTCCACTTTAAGTATCCTTGTGATTAGATTGGAACCTTTGTGGATAAGCCAGGATAATCTTCCCATCTCAAAGCCCTTGACCTTAATCACATGTACAAAGTCCCTTTTGCCATGTAAGCTAACATATCCATAGGTTCCAGGATTAGAATGCCTACATTTTTGAGAGGCCGTTACTTTGCCTACCAGCACGACCACTATCACCATATGGTGATTGGCCATTTGAAACATGGCTAATGGAGTTGAGAAACAACATTATTTTATTTTAATTAATTTAAATGGAAAAGGAAATACATATAGGTAATGGCTACTTTATTGGAGAGCACACATCTAGAAGAATGGGAGAGTAAATAGACTAGGGACATGTGGTACGATCACAGATCAATATTAAGAGCCTATGTATGATTTGTAGTTATGAATTTTAAGTGAGACTTTAGCATAGTTGTATTTCTACAGCCATGTTAACTACTGATGGCACCCTGTATTGGTCCATTCTCACACTGCTATAAGGACATACTTGAGACTGGGTAATTTATTTTTAAAAAGAGGTTTAATGGACTCTCAGTTTCATATGGCCGTGGAGGCCTCACAATCATGGTGTAAGGCAAAGAAGGAGTGAAGGCACATCTTACATGCAGCAGGCAAGACAGCATGTGAGGGGGAACAGCCCTTTACAAAACTATCAGATCTCATGAGAACTCACTCATTATGACGAGATCACCATGGAGATAACCACCTTCATGATTCAATTACCTCCCACCAGGTCCCTCCCATGACATGTGGGATCATGAGAACTATAATCCAAGATGAAATTTGGCTGGGGACACAGCCAAACCATATCACACCCATAAAATTGGCTTGAAGATACATTATCAAAAAATGATAATTATAAACCAAGGGAAAGAAAGGTTTTGAATTCAAGAAACCATGATGAGCAAAGAGACCAGAAAAATTTCTCTTAACTCTAAATAATTATTGAGGCTACCACTCCAAAAATTAATATAATTTTTTTTTCAGATGAAGTCTCACACTGTCACCTGGGCTGGAGTGCAGTGGTGCAATCTCGACTCACTGCAGCCTCTGCCTCCTGGGTTCAAAGGATTCTCCTGCCTCAGCCTCCCAAGTAGCTGGGATTACAGGCGCCCACCACCACACCCAGCTAATTTGATGTATTTTTGGTAAAGACGAGGTTTCACTATGTTGGCCAGGCTAGTCTCAACTCCTGACCTCAAGTGATCCACCCGCCTTGGCCTCCCGAAGTGCTGGGATTACAGGCGTGAGCCACCATGCTCAGCCCAAAATATCTTAAGTAAATGGGGTTTCACCATATTGACCAGGCTGTTCTCCAACTCCTGACCTCAATTGATCCACCCGCCTTGGCCTCCCGAAGTGCTGGGATTACAGGCGTGAGCCACCATGCTCAGCCCAAAATATCTTAAGTAAATGGGGTTTCACCATATTGACCAGGCTGTTCTCGAACTCCTGACTTTGTAAGCCACTCACCTCGGCCTCCCAAAGTGCTGGGATTACAGGTGTGAGCAACTGTGCCTGGCCATATAATTTTTAAAAGAAGATTCATTAAACAAAGGATCCACAATATAATAAACAATTCCAAACTATCAAAAGCCAAATGATTAATTCTTGACACTGAGGAAATAAATGGATTATTTTGTTTCAAATTTCAGAACAACCAGTACAATAAGAGAAATAAGATATTCAATTTGGAAATCATTGGAAAGAAGTAACAAAGTTATAAACAGAGAAGTATTTTTAAACGACATTTGAAAACCCAAACAAAAGAAAACATAACACACGATGGCAGCAAAAAGTTTAAACATATTATGATTACAATTATGATTAGATAAGTTCCCCTGTCAAAGACAAAGAACAGTAATTAGTTGTTTGTAAGAGGTACACTTAAATTAAATGACACACAAAGGTAAAAACTGAACAAGGGAATGAGAAGCAAAACAATATGTAGAAAGAGATTTCAGCAGAAGTGGGAGTCATTCTTTCCAGTATAGGTTTGAATTCACAATACCTGTGGGGCCCGAAAAAGCTCAAATTAAAATTTAATGTAACGTGATCTCCAATTAGTAGTTCCCCAAGATGCCTTGCAAAATAGGCAATACAAATTCATTCTTGTTTTTGTTTTCCCCACAAGATGGGTGTCATTGTGACTGGCTGCTACCTCCCCATGAGTCTTCTAAAATAAAACCTGCAAATTCACATCTTCCCCATGCTTCCAGAGAATGCATATTCTTCGTTTGAAAAAAGAAAACCAGGTATGGTTGCATATGCTTGCAGTTCTAGCTACTCAGGAGTACTCAGGAGGCTGAGGTAGGAGGATCACTTAAGCCTAGGAGTTCAAGTCCAAGTGTAACCAAGACATATGGAGACCCTCTTTCTGGGGGCGGGGCGTGGGGGGAAGAGGACAACACTTAGGGGAACAGATATACGCAAACAGGAACAATAGTATTATCAACTTATAACAAGGAAAAAAATGACCACCAGACATTTGTAAAACATCCATAGCACAAAAGAGAAACACAACCAGATTGTAATTTTTTGGTTAAAGGTCTGTAAAATGCTGGCTAATTTTGAGGATATAGTGCAAAAAAAAAAAAAAAAAAGATTTTGTTAACAACAACAAAAAGAAAGATAAGAAATGCCAGGAGAAAGTTAAAACCTCTATACTAAAATAATGGTCCTAACATTAAGCAAAGTAAAATGTGGTATGATTTTCAGTGGTCAGCAGAGTGTAAGAATAAATAATCTATTTGCACTTGATACTTTCAGCTGTCACAGAGGTCATAGAATTGGGCTTATTGAGAAGGAAAGGTAAATGCTAGCACACTAACTGGCTCAGAAGTGAATAAAAGTGCAGTTTGCTCAAACAACTATATAGGAAAAAGTCTAATAATTTGATGTAAAAATGGGCAGAAGATTTGAATAGATATTTCTCAGAAGAAGACATATGAATGGCAAACAGGCATATGAAAATGTGCTCAACATCATTGATCATCAGAGAAATGTAAATCAAAACTACAATGAGATATAATCCAACTCCAGTTAAAATGGCTTTTATCCAAAAATCAGGCAATAACAAATGCTGGTAAGGATGTAGAGAAAAGGGAACCCTTCTACACTGTTAGTGGGAATGTGAATTAATACAACCACTATGGAGAACAGTTTGGAGGATCCTCAAACAACTAAAAACAGAGCTACCATATGATTCAGCAATCTCACTGCTAGGTATATACCCAAAAGTATATTGAAGAGACATCTGCACTCCCATATTTGTTGCAGCACTGTTCATAATAGCCAAGATTTGGAAGCCACCTAAGCGTCCATCAACAGATGAATGGAGAAACTGTGGTACATATACACAATGGAGTACTATTCAGCCATAAAAAAGAATGAGATTCTGTCATTTGCAGAACTGGAGATCATTATGTTAAGTTAAATAAGCCAGGCACAGAAAGACAAACATATTTTCACTTATTTTTGGGATATAAAAGTCAAAACAATTAAACTCATGGAGATGGAGAACAGATAGATGGTTACCAGAGGCTAGGAGGAGGAATTGGGAGGGGGGCATTGGTGATGGTTAATGGGTACAAAAAAATGGTTAGAACGAGTAAATAAGACCTAGTATTAGATAGGACAACAGGAGGATTATAGTTAAAAATAATTTATTTGTACATTTCAAAGTAACTAAAAGAGTATAATTGTATTATTTGTAACACATAGGATAAATGCTTGAGGTGATGGATACCCCATTTACCCTGATGTGGTTATTACACATTGTATGCCTGTACCAAAAGATCTCATGTACCCCATAAATACATATACCTACTATGTACCCATACTAATTAAAAATTAAAAAAATTTAAAGAAATTACAGTTTATTTGACCAAAGTTTTACTAAGCACAGATGTATTAAATATAATTTTATTGTCTTTTTGATATTATAATAATGAAGGTATCTACACAGAAGTCGGAGATGAGAAGAAAATGATATAATATGCACCTACTACATGGTGGGTAGTTTATATACTAAAGTTATTGTTATGAGAAAGAATGGCTTAGGAATATTATTTTAAATTACTAAGGAGTGTTTAAAAAAATACCGAAAGCAAAAATGACAAAGGCAAGAAGAAACAGTAGATAATGTGAGTAAATCTTAATCTTTCCAAGAGAGGAGACAGTTCATAATGTCTAAAATTGTTAAACCATAACATAGAGATATAGTTATCTTATTCATAGTTAAGGAGATAACTACTATAGCACAAAATAGTGCCAAAAGTGGTTGCCTCTGGGAAATATGATTATAGATATTATAATATTTTGGACTGTCAAAATCTGCTTTTAAGACTGAGGAAATACAAATAGGACAATGTTTATTTGAAATTTGTATCCTCAGGGAATGTAAAGAAATTAATGTATCCACAAAATAATAATAGCTGCTATTCAAAAACAGTTTTCTTGAAAGTTAAAATAGTGATAGTCTTCTAAAAATTTTGTTAGTTTTGGTTTTATCTTTAATCTGAGTTACATAGAAAAGTGTTTATTTCAAATTAGGCAAGCTTATTTTATGCCTTTTTCTGTCTTTTTTTCTATCAACTAGAGTTTTATTGTGTTCAGAAAATGCCATGCATTAAAAGATTACTTTTGAGAATTTCTAGAGATTTTCTTTGTTGCTAAAGAGATTTTTGTAATTGTTACATGGGATTTTAAAAAGAATGTAAATTATCCTTTTTGTCAAGTATAATGATTTCTGAAACCTAGCTGTGTCAGAATACTGTATAATACTGTAATACTATATTGTTTTTGGCTATGAGTAATTATTTCTTAGAGTGGTATGTTAAAGCCTCGACCCTTGTGACTTTATCTGTTTCTCTCTCTACATCTAAACATCTCCAAGAAATGTTATTTGCAGTACCAAGACCATAACTATTATGTATTTAATCGAAATAAAATATTTCAGCCCTTTGTAATTCACCTTGAACTTTATTTTGTTAAACATAATTGTTGTTGATTATACAACCTTTGATTATCAATCCCTAGATACACTTTTCTAATCCACTATAATTGTTTCAAAATAAAAGAAGAAGGGAAGGTTGTAGTAAAACCCTCCCAAAACTCCTCCTCCATAAAAGTAATGAGGATACTGGCCCAAAAAAAAAAAAAAAAAAGTCAAAATCAACTTTTCAGAATCCTGGAAACTAACTGAAGTTTTCCAACAATCTGAGGAACTTTTATTTTAGAAAAATAATCAGATCTTGGTAACAATGAGCTTTGTGGTGCTTGAACTTACTTTATGCCCATTCAAATTCATGATATCCTTTAAGACCAACAGACTCACACCCACAGTAACTGAAAAACAACAGCCTAGTAGTCACTGGGTGGGAAGAAGGGTTTGGAAATCACCCAAATCCACATGCAAAATGACCATTTGACCTGTATGGAAGCTACCTGAAAAATTTCATTCTCAAGGTTTGTTATTATTTTATTTAGTTAGTTATTTAGAGAAAGAGTCTCACTCTGTTACCCAGGCTGGAGTTCAGTGACATGACCTTGACTCACTGAAGCTTTGACCTCCTAATTTCAAATGATCCTCCCACCTCAGCCTCCCAAGTAGCTAGGACTGCATGTGCTTGACCAACACCTGCTAATTTTTTTTTTTCAGAGACAGGGGTCTTGCTATGTTGCCCAGGCATGTCTCAATTTCCTAGCCTCAAGTGTTCCTCACACTTTGGCCTCTCAAAGTGCTGGAATTATAGGTGTGGCAGGTTTATCTTTATTTGGCCTGACTTAGAGCTTTCTCTGTGAGAATAGCCATATTCCCAGGTGTGTGTCTAAAGCAACTATTGGCAATTGTTGAACAACACAGCTTCCTTAAGCAGAGATCCCATTTAGGGCTAATAAGTGGCTAGGAAACTTAAAAGGAAAAACTGGGGAATGAAAGGACTTTAGAGGATAGTTAAAAACTCCACACATTCCTGGGAATCTAGAAGGCCACATGCATGTGCAGGACTGCGAACATGTACAGAAAACACTGGAGAAGGTCTTAATTGCTCACCTATGACTGACCTTTAGTTGCTATAAAATCAAGAAGTAAAGGTTAAGGCAGAACTGTAAGTTGTCTGAAGTGTTGAAGATGTTCCTGAACATAAACACAGAGTCTGTCAGCAAAGGCTGTGAGACTTATTGGTCCAAGGTATGCAAGGAGATCCCTGTCCAATCACTAGCTGATGAGTAAATTAAAGAATACAGACTTGACAGAATTAGTCCAGGAAAGTCACAAACAAATAAAAGGAAAATAAAGAGAGGCACAACAACTAGCAACAGGAGCAAGTCCTGGAAGTCCTATTTCCATCTGATTTCCAGCGTTGTCACAGTATGTTTATTATAAATGTCTCACTTTTCAGTAAAAAATCTTGAGATACCCAAATAAATGAGATAGAGGTACGCCCCATATATAGGGTGTGGCGGGTAGGGATGGAGGAATAAATAATCAATAGAAACTATCCCTGAGAAAGACTACTGGACTATTAAGACCTTGGACTTACTAGTCAAAGATTTTAAATCAGCTATTATAAATGCCTTTGAGAACTAAAGGAAACCATGATTAAAAAATTAAATAAAAATATGAGACTATCTCAAATAGAAAATATCAATAAAGTGGTAGAAATAATTTTAAAATAAAGTAGAAATAACGCACTTAAAAATTAAAGTAAATGATATAAAAATTTTACTAGAAGGACTCAAAAACAGATTTGAAATGGCAGAAGATGGAATCAATGGAGCTAAAGATAGATCAATTGAGATGATCAATTCTAAGGAACACAAAGAATTATGAATGAAAAAAATTGAGCAGAGCCTCAGGGATATGTGAGACATCATCAAGCACACCAACATAGGCATGATAAACTCTCAGAAGGATTGGAGCGAGAGAAAGAGGCAGAAAGAATATCTGAATAAATCATAGTGTGAATTGTTTCCTATTTGATAAAAAACACTAATTTGCACATTCATGAAGATTAAGGAACTCAAAATAGAATCAACTAAAAGGGATCCACACCTAGACAAATCATAGTAAAACTGTCAATAGCCAAGGACAAAGAGAGAATTTTGAGAACAACTCATCACCTATAAGTGATCATCAATAAAATAATTCCTATCTGAAACTATGGTGGCCAGAAATAGAATGACATTTTCAGTGTTGTAAGAAAATGATTGCCTATAAAGAATTGTACATCCAAAGAAATTTTCCTGTGAA